TAAAAAAAAAAAAAAAAAAGTTGACCCTTGCCCTAAACAAAAATGAGGTAATAGAAAGCCAGTTCAAAGAGTTCAGTGAGAGATAAAAGAATCTCAAACGAAAATAAGAACGTTGGAAATTTTAGTTATAAGATCAAAACAACAAAGTGATCAAATACGGTAGATACTAGGAAGTCAAGAAGTCAAACAAAAGCTCTGTGAGTAAATATGATTACTAGGAAAGAGAACAGAAAGTTTATTGTTCCTTAAAATAAGAGTCCCTTAAAAATTAGTTTTCAGTGCTTTGAGATCATACATTGTAAGAAAGGATAATTAGGCCTTTAGGCCTATCAATCACAATAACTGATCAATTTAGCTGATCATCAATGATTTACAATCCCCTTCCAAGATAGTTAGAAAGTGGCTGCCCACCAGGACAATTCCAATCCACTAGAACCTCAGCAGTCATGTGAATGGGATCTGGCCAATGTGATACAAGCAGAAATCATATAGCCTACCCAGGCCCAGAGTAAAACCTAAGTGACCCTCTACACTTTCTCATCTGTATGTACTTCACCTGGAAGCCAATGTTAAGGTGAGCTTATAAGCCTTGTGCTAAAGATACAACAGCTTCTGTCAGCTCAGGTTCCTGAGTGATTTTTTTATGCATTAAACCACTGAGACGTCAACATTTATATTTTAACACTTGGCCTAATTTTAAATATATATTTTAAATGATGACATGGATAAAAGTGCCAGGTACTGTAATCAAGATGAAATGGACTGAAAAATTCAACAGCAATACTGATAACCACTTTAACAACAATTTCAGTAGATGTTAACAAGACAACTCAAAAAGAAATAAAAATCTATTACTGTAATTCCATTATTTAAAGTGGAATTTTTTTTTTAAAGATTTATTTATTTATTCTTACAGAACTGGGGTACGGGCCAGAGGTGTGGTGGGCGAGAGGATTCACCAAAGACAGAGTGGGGAGCAAAACAAGCAGACTGACAAAGTACAGTCTGAGGGGAGCAGCGGGATGGTCATGAAAGGTCTGCCATACCATGTGGGTCACCTCCCTGGCCAGGGATGGAACTTGTGCTGCAATAGCTCTGAGAGCTTCATAATGTGGTGTTTTAACCAGCTGCACCACCTGGGAGAGCCCTAAAGTGGAATTTCTTAAGGAAAGATTTGTCTTGCAAAATCCATCTCTTTAAAACTGTTTGTGGTCAAATGAGTCTGAGAACATTGCATACTACAAATTGATAATGTACATGGAGTGATGAGTATATTATATGCTCTGCAAATACATATAATAAACATAATTGTCTTTATTTAAAAGAGCTTTCCCATAAGTTGACCATGAAATCCTTTTATTCAGTATTTGCTGACATACCTTCTACAACGAAAAATACAAGTGAAAGAGTGATTTAAAAAGAAAAAAAAAAAAAAAAACCCAGGAAGGTGGAATTGCATGAGCTTGTTTAAAAAAACACTCGTGGGCCACCATGGTAGCACAGGTGTTACGTCTCATCCCTATCAAGCTATCCCCAGCAACTGTAGCATGAATTCAATCCCTAGCCAGAGCTGACCCATATGGCACAGCAGACCTCTCCTTGTCTCACCAGCTGCTCCCCTCAGCAGTGTATTTCCGTACGTCCACTTGTTCTGCTCCCCAATCACTGTCTCTGGTGATTTCTCTCACTCCCATTCCTCTGGCTTACACCCCAGTTCTTGTATGCATAAATAAATAAATCTTAAAAACTTGTAGAAGTGTTATATCCTTAACCTCTCCTAATAAACTTACCTATTTTAAACTTATAAAAAGAATTCTAACTACATGAATTAAGTGCACACTCAATCACCATAGAACTTTTTTTATTCTGAGATAGTTAAATGGAAAATGAGCAAAACTTTTAAAAAATCTATCTTGTGAAACTCTTACCTTCATCTTTATACTTTATTGTAACTTCATCATTACTCAGAAGTTTTCCTCTGAAAACTCGTTGCATCATTAGCACTAATTCATCATAAGTAATATCTTCATTATGAATAGGAATGCGTCGAATATCCTCCCCAAGTTGAGCTTTGATGATTAGCTTCCCACTCAGGTCCAACTGTCCATTCATGGTGGACTCCAGGATGTTTTATATATACAACTCTAGGGAAACTGATAAAATAGTTTTAATGATTAAGCAATTATAAATCCTTTGAAAAGAAAAGGCACTATAAGAATCTAAGAAATTCTAGTCCTCAGAAGGGATTCACAGTTCCAAGTGACCCATATCCACATGAAAATTGAAGTAACCTTGTATCCATCATGTGACTCTACAATTCAGATCTCTTAATATGCCTAGAAAACTTCTAATTCCCTCTCAACAATATCTGCAACTCCTTTAGACTTTTCCATTTTAAACAATTTCTTTCCTCTATAGTTATTTATGATAAAAAAAAACTTACTCTTTTCCTCATGCCTTACATCCACTAAGTTGCTAACAAAACTAATTGTCATTACAGTACCTTTAAAATAGCTCTACAACAAATCTCCCACCCACCTGAGACTATGCAGGTTTCACTTGTTCTTTCCCTAATAAACCTGTCCTTTTTAAATGTTTAAAAAAAAAAAAAAAAAAACTCTACAATCCAATCACTTCAGTATCTTCACTTCTATCAACTTGACCCAACCCATCAACTCTCACCTGGAGTAATGAAAAAGACCCTTCACTAGTCTGCCTGGCTTTTGACTTTTGCATACCCTTAACCTATTCCCAACATAAACAGAATTACTGTTAAAAATAAAATAAAATCTAATGTCACTCCACTGAAAATCTTCCAATGGATTTCAATCTCAGTAATAGAAAAAGCCAAAACTACAAGGTCATGCATTGGTCTCTGACTCTTAGCCAAAAATTCAACCTCTTTTCCAACCTCTCTCCCTGCTTAATCATGTTACACCCATACTTTGTGTTCTATGTCTCAAGGCTTTGCACTTGCTGCTCTTTGTCTTGAGCCCTTTCACACTTCTCCCAAGATTCAGATCTCTGACCAATCTATAATGGCTCCTGCGTCACTTTTTTTTAACCCTATTTCACTTTTCTTCAAAGCACTATCACTACTGGACATTAAAATGCATTAGCTTTTTACTGTCTTTTCCACTAGAAAGTAGGAAATAAATGGCTTTGTCCTACTCCCAGAACCTATAATAGTTCAGAACATGTGACAATCATTCATTATTTGGTAAATAAAGGGAAAAATAAATACTATCTTCCAAATTCATTAACCTGTAGTGCTAACCATTCTAAATGCTAACCATGGAAATAACAAAGTAAGTGTGAATATTAGTTTCAACTTTCCACTCTAAAATAAGAAAGAATTCATTAGTATTTTCTCTAAATGGTCCTATTTTGGGAACTTGAGGAAAGGCAAATGAGTGGTATCCTCCTGAGCTTTCTAACAACACTGTCCACTACTGTTTTTACATATTACACAATACAACCTTCCCCTGGATTTATATGATTACACTGAACACTTTCAGAAAGTAGGCAGGGTACTGGAACTAGGCACTAAATACTAATTTACTAAGAACTTTCTCTTTGGGGAGTTTAATCTTGTTTTACCTCTCTCAAAAGTGTGATTGTCCTTTAATGACTTCAAAATCTTAAATTCAAAATATCTCAGGCCCTTTATACTATCAGTGTGTAATAATGGAAAATTAATATAATTTCTTTGCATAGCCTATCTCTTCTTTTCTTAGCATCAACTAAGAAACTCCTGCCCCAAGCAATGACTTCTCCAATTGTTTTAAATGGCCTAGAGTCTCCTACCGGCCACCTCCTTCCTCATCCTTTATTATTGGTAGCTTTCTGTTTTCTCTTCTCATATTTTTTTATTTGTTCAACATTTTCATCCTTCTCTACAATTATTACTGTGTGGGAGAGTGAGAGAGAGAGAAAACACCCTACCTGCCACCCAACTCTTCAACCATTTGTTTTCATGAATCCGAATTCATCTCAGAATATTACATATAAATGTCTTAACATTCAAGTCCCTAAATTAAGTCCTTAAATCCACAACTAACTCTTCATTTAGGAAACATTTACTGAATACATATTAAGGGCCAAGCTCTGAAGTGTAATTATCTCAACAACATGGTAAAGATCCTGCTTTGCAGCCTGATAGTAACAAAGTATTTCAGGACATCACTGTATGTTGCTGTCTCCCATCTAACTAATATATATAAGCCAACAATGATGTTAAGAACCGGGGCTTAGCTTCTTCACAAAGAGTATTACCTATTATCTGTAGCAAGTAGAACAGTGCCTGACATAGAGTAGGTATTTAAAGACTTGTTTTTACCTCCTGAACAAAATATGACTGCAGAATAATTAAATTCTTATAAAAAGACTGGGAGAAGAAAGCTGTATAATCAGATAAGTTCATAAATCATACCTTCACAGTACATTCATTACACAGGTTCATTAGGTAGTGCAAGAGAACAATCCCAGTTGTAAAAAGAGAAGTTTCTTGCATGAATGAATGAATGAATGCACTGACCTGTATGTTTCTGATGTTGGGAGATAAATTGCTCAGTTTCAATGGATTTGAAACTTCAGTCTCTTTTAATATGTGCTGTATTTGCCTGCAGTCACTATTTCTTACTGTTTTCCCATGGATTGTACATTCCCTGTAGCCAGGAATCAACGTTTCTTCACCTGATCCTAGTTTGTGAAGTTTTCTCAGCACAAACACTTCAGAATGACAAAACTAAGGGTACCGCATTTCCCTCTCCGGGGAAATGCCCAGCCCATTTTTTTATTATAACGGACTTCTGGCCCTCTTTCAGGTAACTTTATTCACCAAGTTAGAGACAAGTACTCACAACTAGTTTCCAGGGCTGTTAGTGGAAAGCATTTTCTTATTATCTACTCCTAACCCCCAAGTTCTCCGAAATCCAGAAATGCCACAGCCACTAACTTTTGAAACCTTCAAACAGAAACCATTTTCAGCATTTAAGAATCAAGAGATATGCCCAAGGTCACACAGTCTACTTGAATCAGGGGGTTGATTCAATGGTCAAATCTGCGTCTCCACTAACCCGAAGGGTTAAATTCAGAGGTCCAATGGGGAGCAGATTCCTTAAAAAAAAAAAAAAAAAAATCCTGAGCAAAACCAACCCTTGATTATTCCAAAGAAAGCAAAATGTCCTGAATCCTGCCTGGCCAAAGGCCGTCTAGCTAGATAGTAAAGAGTCCCAGTACAAACCACGTGATCTTGGGCCAGTACTTCTGGAAGCCTCACTTTCACTATGTGCAAAATGGGAATATGTACAAAAATGGGAAATTTGGAAGGGTCTCTATCGTGATAAAAGGAGAACAAGCGTGAGGAATACTTAGCCCAAAACGCGGCAGAGTAAATTCTCAAAAGTTAACTCGCATCACTGAAAAAACGGGGCTGGGCCTCCAGCTGGCCCTCGTAAACACCGACACAGCCACGGGAGTTCCTCGTAATGAGCCCAATCAGCCCGTGCCACAGGCGCCTTTCTCCCCCTTCCAAGCCCCTCCGGGGTCAGGCGCTGTACCTCCAGAGGCTGACCAAAGTCCCTCTCCTCAACCTCGGGCAGCTCGACGCCCCTCGAGCCACAGAGAGGGGGCGCGAAACGCTCGCGGACCCAAACAGCTCACACGCGCGAACCGCCCGCCGCCCGCCGGGCCACCTCCGCGGGCAGCGAGACCCTCCTCCCCCGCCTCCCCGTCCGCGGCCGCCCCTCCCCCATGGGAGGCCCCGCCCAGCCGTGCCCTGCTTTGCCCCCCGCCACCGACCCCTTCCCAAGCGCCCCACCGCCCCACTCACTCAGCGTCGGCAGGGTCGAAATAGGCCCCCTCAGCGCTTCCTCCTCTCCCCGCCCTCGTCAGAGCAAGCGGCCGCGCCCCCCCCCCATCTCCAGCGGCCATACCGGCTTGCCGAAGCCGCCGCTGCCTCCTCTTCGTGGGTCTCCACTCACCAACCGAAGGGACGCCCAGGCCGCCACCTCCAGGTCCTCGGGCGCAGTGGGGAGGCTGCGGTCACGGCCCACTCAGTTGCCCTCTGAGGCCGCGGCACCTCGCTCGCAGACTCGCGCGGCCCCGGCCAATCGCACGGACCCACTAAGCCTGGCGACAGCTCGGACCCAGTACGTGGCAGGTGGGGGTAAGCAGAGGGGCGGGAGCAAGGAAAAATTTGCCCTTCGCCCCGCCTCACAGCGAGCGCCTACGCATGCGTAGCAGTGGGCCTGCGGCGATGACGAGGCCGAGCCTTTAAGGGCTGGCGTCTCTGCGTTCTCACTGGGTGAGCGTCAGCTGAACGGACGCACGCAACCGCGAGGCGTGACCAGGCACTTCCGGTTTTCCTGAAAGCCTGTGTTTCCAGTTTCTCTCCGGGGCGTGTGGGTTTCCGTGTACTCTCTGGTCTCAGAGAACCGGTTGAAAGTGGGATTTGTTTAACTTTGCGTATCTTCTGACTATTTTGTGGCAAATGTAGTTCTTCAAGTTGTATCTGGGAAAATTAACCGTTCTCCTGCCTTCCTTTTTACAAATTCATTCATTCGTCGTTAGGCGCCTACGCTTTCCCAAGCACTATGCTAGGAACCGGGATGAGTCAGTTTGTGATCATTGCGTTTACCATTCAACAGAGAAGAGTGTGTACAGGAGTAAGACTGGAAAATTAAGGATAATTAAGAATTCCAAAATCCCTTTTGGAGAAGGCATTTTAAGCGTGCCGTACATACTGATTACCTAATGCATTTCTTTTGAATTATGAGTATTTATGTAGAAAGTGCCTGACTCAGACTGAACCTACATTTAGGGTGGGGCAGGGAGATAGGGAGAAGTTGTAAGCAACTTTTGCCTTTTAAGAGACTAAAAGACAACCTGCAGTTACTCGGGCCCCAGTTGTTCAACAAATACTCCCGAAAAACCTGGAGTAAATTTTATGTTCTTTTAGTAATGTAAATAGTGGTTTTTACTCTTGTCTCTGAAAAAATTCTACTTGAGAGTAAAACGTGACTTAAAGAGTGTTTTTTGACTCTCGAGCCTATTTTCCAAAGGTTGTGCCTATTGCTCTTTGCGTAATTGCTTGCAGGAATGGGTAGTGAAGGACCAATTCCTGAAGACCTAATAAATGTGATTTTTCTCCAGAGGCGATTCTTAATCGCTTGTTATTTAGAACAGAATAGTACATATTTGGGAAAATAAACTGTTATCCAATTACAGTATATGGGTGTCTTCAAGATGAGGTTAAAAAAAAAGAAAAAATCACATTAATGAGTAGAGGTAAAATATTCCCTACAGGAAGTTAATTACCCGACCGTCAGTCTTCCTAAAAGAGCTCAGAACCCGAAGCAAAAATAAAGAGGAAACTTTACCCTGAAGGAGTGAAGGGCTTCTCTAGAATCTCAGGAAAAGGGCATTCACTTAAGAAACCTTCACTGAGAAGAAATAAACTGACCCCTATTACCATGGGGTCAACTAGAAGCAAAGGACACAGTGGTCTTCTGTGAATACATTGGCCTTGTAGACTCAGAAACCAGCTGAAGGTTCTTTATGTCCTTGCTTCATCCCCAAGCATCTATTGAAGTACTGTTTAGTGTTAAAACCTGTTCCTTGTTAGCAATGTGAAAGTGTGAGATCAGGTGATAGTGATTCCTCAGTGATAGTGATTCCTCAGTTCAGCAGAAGCAGGAGCTGCCCCAGTAGGCAAGCAATGAGAAACAGGACAGTAAAGTAACATTTGGAAGCCAGATCAGAAGCTCAGGTGAACTGGGACAAGAAGAATATGCAGGATTACAGCAGTTTCCCAGCATTCTCTTGGAATTTATATTTTTAAATTTGTAATTAAAACTTCATAAAAGATGTAGCCTCATACTGTCCAGCTGAATGGAGGCTTGGATTGGGCATGAAGTTGGGACATTTGTATTTATTATGTCATATAAGAGCATGTATATGGAAGTACATGAAATTGTCATTTGAGTTTGTCATATTCTCTCCTTAGTTTAAAAGCACTGTAATAATGAAAACCATATTCTACCCATTTTCCTATTTCAACTTAATAATAAATTGTCAAAAAAACTTCAGAAGCCGGCCCTCCCTGGTGGCGCAGCGGGTTAAAGCACAGCACTGAGAATCTAAAGCCACTTCCGCATGAGATCGATTCCCGCCTGCTCCGGAGGTGATCACAAGGCGTGGCAGACCTCTCCTGACCAGCCCGCTGCTCCCCTCAGCAGTGTACTTCATAGATCTGCCTGTTCTCCTCCCCACTCTGTCTCTGGTGAAGCCTCTCGCCACCCCGGAGCCTCTGGCCTGTACCCCAGCTCTGTATGCACAAATAAATAAATCTTTAAAAAAAAAAAATTAAGAGGATAACGAACAGCTGGAACTCACCACCAAATACAAGGATTAGAATGTTATCAATAAATACTCTCCCCTATTTCTCATCCCCTATATGGTTTCTCTCGAGTTTTTGTATTTGGCATTACCTTGGATATTTTTCATTTCTTTTTAATTACCTATACAGTTTTATCACATGTGTGTGCCTAAAGAATATGTTGTTTTTCTTGTTTATAGACATGATTTAGACAACAGTGTCTGGTTTTCCTGGGACATTTTTGCACTCAATGTTATTATTAAAGTATATCCATGTTCTGCATGTAACTAGAGTTCTGTTATTTTCATTGCTGAATAATATTCTTTTGGTGGAGTATACCCACAGATTTTAAATCCGTTCTCCCATCAAAGTGCATTTAAGTTGTTTCTGTATTATGAACTTTCTTGTGTGTTTCTTACACAGGAGTTCCTCTTGGTTACATACTAATACATGAATTGCTGAATGGCAGATTATGCAGATATTTAGCTTTAAACAATAATGTCAACCATTGGGATCACAGAGATCTTTTTTTAAAGGGCAAGGGGTTTAAATGATATATTTTTGTGCTCCTATTAAAAATCATAAAGGCAAAAAAATGTACAAAATTATGTAAAAATAAACTGTTATAAAATAAAAAAAAATCATAAAGGCTACAAATTACCCTGATGTTATGAGCCAAATGTTTGACTATTAGAGTTTACTTCCTTATCAATTCTATTGATTGTTCTGTACCTTATTTAGAATTCTGTTTGAACTTATAACACCACCTAGTTTGAGGGCAGTGATTATATTCTCTGTCCCTCCCAGCATCTAACAAGGATTGCCTTATGCACATACTAGAAATTTAGTAACTATCTTTTGATTTATTGAACTAGTTATTAATGTTTCTGATGATGCAGTTCTCTATACTTAGGTTCCCAGTAAATGTAGCTGATACCTGGCCATAGAGTGAGGACCTTACCAAGAACATGGTTTCTCCCACTACATGTATAGGCACTATTTTAGTTACTGCTGCCTTTCATTAGTGAAGCCAGAGTGTTTCTGTTTCACATAGTTATCATTTACTAAACACTTAAGGTCACATTTATTGAGGATAAGCATCAATCAAAGCATTAATAAGATTGTTCTTGGAATTCCATAAGCAATCAAAGTTTTAAAGTGCTCCTAGACAGAAAATACCTTACCCTACTTTTTGTGTTCAACTCAGAAAGGTAGTGACCAGAGTAAACTTAACTTCATACTCACCTAGTCTTCTGTCCTACATAAGGTATTTGGCTTTAAATGAACACAGAGAAAACCTTGAATCAGATGTGTAAAAGCTGAAAATATGTGAAGACAAGAGAAGCTGTGTAAGGAAAAACCTCTGACCCTACCCCTACCTGTAGCAAGAGAAAAAATGAGGCTCTAATGTTCAAAGATTACTTTCCACGTGTAACAAAGGATAAGAGTTATACGATCGCTTTGAGGGAGGTAGTCATCTCACTTACTTAACTCCTCTTTCTCCCTGAGTCTCCTTGGTTAGACCTTTTCAGATAGAAGAGGGACATATCCTGAGAATTAAAGAGAGAATTCTCAAGCAGGATGGGAAATGAGACAAAGTCTATTAACCTTATAAGCAAGATTGATGCGGCCTGTATTTCATTCCTGTTCTCCTTTAGCAGTTAGTATAACTCACTTTGAAAATTCCAGTCATCTCAGCCCTCTCAGGGGAACCAAAGGAAGGATGGACGATCCCCTTTGGGTGGGAATTTCGAAGATGCCCCTGCATAGAGAATCAGCTCTATTGTGGCAGCAGCCAGTAAACGAGAACTCCAAACCAGGAAACTCAGGAGAAACAAACAGGAGCTAGGTGATCATCTCAACCTTCCCTCCATTAACTAAACATAAAATGCTGCTTGAGTAAACAAAGGAAGCTGTCCCTCTACGCAGTAATACTGGAGGAAGGAGAACTGAATATTCTTTGTGTATAACTTTGAGTGAGTCATTCTTTCTGCCAGGCAAGCAAAAAACTTTAGTCTGTCCTAACAGCAGCATATTCACTGAGACCTAAAAGTGTTTCGCCTTTCCATAGGACTCTATGTCCAAACTCTCTTCAGAGAAATTGCTCCTGGAAGACAGTTTTCCCTAGATTTTTATATCCCTAGAGAATGACATCACCTAGGTGTTGAATACATATTATTTAAAGAAAAAGTGAAAACTAAGTTTCCCACCATTTATAGAGCAAGGTCCCAGACACAGGAAGTAGCCATCACTGGTGAGTCCCAAGTTCCCCAGCAACAGAGACTTTAATCTGAGCCATTTCTGAAGTTCTTTTCCCATTTGTACCTGCTGGAAATGGTGCTGCATCATCTGTGCCTCCTGTCAAAATTTAGGTAGAAACACTCATGCCACTAGAGATGCCACAACTTTTCACTTGATTGAATAGCTTTATTCAGCTATTTTAGGAAACATGTTAAATTCTAGAAATCATGCTTGTCAAATCAAATTTTGAGTACTTGGAGATTCTTGCATTTCTAACATTTATGCCAGTGATCTTGTTTTTAGTCCCACCATAGGTATATGTGGGCATTCTCAAAAATTTTATAAGAAATTTCAATGAAGGCAGATTTGTAATAAAATATGCAAAGTAAAACCACCATGAAGTGTGATTTTTCACATATTGATGAAAGTGTGAAAAATTCATAACCCCTGATAGAAAAGAATATGGCAAAATAGACTTTTTTGTTGTGGGTACATAAGTTGATACAACATCTGGGGTGCTAAGGTGTTTATTAACATCTAAAACACCCAATCCTATATGACCCAAAAATTC